CCCAAGTATAGGAATCATAATTCAATACTATGTATATAAGAGATGTCCTGACCTCAAATTAAATATTTTCATGTATATTTATTTATTCAAATTAGTTATGGATCCACATGATTCAAAATGTAAAAGATAGAAAGGGGGATTCAATGTCATCTGCCTCCCACCTGCTCCTGTCTGAGTATCCCTGTCTCAGTTCTCAGTTTTATTTTGCAAACCCAGAAAAATCCCAAGAGTCTCTTTAAGGCAAAGAAAGCAAGTTGACCCAATTTAATCTAAACGAAAAGGATTTACTCTAAGCTGACACTACTTAAGGTGCTGGTTTGCTCCTTTCATAGCTTCCCCCAAATTTTCTGAGACTTTAAAAAGTAGCACTCAAGGGGACTGGGGTTGTGACTCAGCGGTAGAGCATTCGCCTAGGTTCTAGGTTCTGGGTTCGAGCCTCAGCACCATATAAAAATAAATAAATAAATAAATAAAGGTTTAAAAAAAACAGCACTTACTAAACTACAAAATAGTTAAACAGCACCTTGTCAAGAAATTTTGACTTTGAACTTGCTAATATGCAAACAAATCCCTATAAATTGATTAATAAGAAATTTTATTTCATCTTATTTATCATTTATTAAATCTCTGCTTCTTTTCTTCTGTTGAACAGGATGGAAGGCAAAGATTTGCTTTGGGACTACTTTGAGACTTTTACACTTCAGGCCAGGGCAAAGCATATAAGAAATAAAACAAATAGAATGAGCTTAATTTCTATTCAGCTGATTGGGTATTCGTGATTCTTCTGACTGAGATTGCTTACTTCTGCATTTATTTATAAAGAAAGAGTATGTTGAGCAAGTAAACAATGCAAGGAGAATAGTTAAGCAATTAGATATGCCTCTTGTCATACAGTAAAGACACAGGCCATTGTGAACAAAATGTCTAACTTATTAAAACCTGCTTGGAGCACCACAATGCTAACTAAATACTTTCCACTAGTTTTAATGTTTACAATGCAAAATAAAAATCATTTAAGATGATTTTATAGAGAAGGGCTTTAAGGGCTTTTTGGTCTCATAATAATTTTGGACTGGTCAAAAATGCCATGGGGTTGAGGGTGTAGTTCAGTGGTTACTGAGCAAGTGCAAGACCCTGGGTTCAATACTCAGCACCAACAAACCAAAACAAAACATGGTGGTTATTTTGCAAGAACTGGGTGCATCGCCCCCTTCCTTCATTGTGTGATATTGGAGAATTGTTGTGCATGAAATAATGATGAAAATCCAACTCAATTCACTTAGAAAAGTAACGTGATCACAATAATATCCACCCATATCAGGAAAGGCTATATGGAGGCTTTGAATATACACAGTAGGCCACACACTATGTATCTCCACAAAGACTCGGGCGCTGAAGATCGCTGTATTTGTTAATTTGGTTATGGGTGAAGTTTTGAGGATTCCCCCCCCCCTGTTCTATTAATAGAACTAATTCATTCCACACATTTATTTACTTAGTCTAGACATTCGTTAGCCTACCATGGAAATGATGAACATCCAGTGCCTACACTCAGGAAACATACAATCCAAGCGAAAAGTTTACTTTTCAATAATCATTAGTGTTGTGCTATTATGGCGCTTCACTGCTCCCCGAAGGACAGGTGCTGGGGTACAGTCTCAGGAGGTGGCAGAACCCGCGCTGTCCTAGCCTTGGCCAAGCAGGGCGGGGTGAGCCTAGCAGCGGTCCTCGCTGCCCCCGCGCGCTCCCTCCCGGGTGGCCTTTAATTTCGCAGCTCCGACCACCGGAAATTAGCAAAAGGCTGAGCAGACCCGGCGGAGTGCCTGGTGAGCTCGGCTCTGGGAAGGCGCGCCCACCGGTCCCGCCGGGCGCCCGCGGGACGCGCCGCCAGGGCCCTCTCCGCCGGGGGCTCGGCGCTCGCCCACCTCTTCCAAATTTAACCATTACCTAAATCCAAAGGGAAATGAGCAAACCTCTCGGATTGGGTGTCAAGGTATTTTCAGCCTCGTTGGGCGTATTTATCCCGAAGTGTTTCCACAACAAGCTATTTCGGGGCCCCGAGGCAGGTTTCGCTCTGCGGACGCCGTGGCCACTCGCTGGGCTCCAGGCCGGCGGCTCCACGCGCCAGTGATTCATGCCGGATTCCGGGGAGGGGTGGGGGGCGTGCAGCCCAAGCAGACCGCGGGGTTGGGGGGGTGCCCACGGCCAAAGGAGCAGGGAGGCCTCCTCCGAGCGGAGCACCCCCGGCTCCCGCCGCTCCAGGCAATCTGTGTCCTGAATCGAATCTGTGACTTCTCGCTGCGGAAGTCTCCCAGGAGCCAAGAATAGTTCAATTTTCTTTCTAGTCATTTCTAGTGCCTGGGTGACGGGTCCTCTGTGTTCCTCCATCCCCCGCTGGTCCACAGAGGGGAGGGGGAATGGGGAGGTCCGCGAAAGGGCGTCCAGGAAGCGAGCTAGAAAAATCAGGTCCTTAGGCCTCCGCGGGACCACTTGTTCAAAGGAGGAGCGCGCCCCTCCGCCCAACTAGGGGTTGGGGGATAGGTCTGAGAGGGCTAGCGAGCTACTCTGTAACGCTCAGGAAGTGAAGCTTGTGGTTTTGGGGGCTGAGCTCAGAAGGAGATTAAAAAGAGAGAGAGAGAGAGAGAGAGAGAAAGAGACAGAAAGGTCTCTCCCGAAAGCAAGATTCAGTTTGAAAACTCGTGTGTCCGCGCCCTGACCCCGCAGGTAGGTTTGCTGTACCTCTTCTGCGCCTCCTGCCCTGGTGGGGGTGGCCACAAAGACTGGCAGGGCACTGATACTGCGGGGGCGACCAGAGGGCGCTGGCGGGTCCCCACCTGCTGCCTGCACTGTGTGGGAGTTGCCAGAGCTCCTGCTGCTGGGTTCGGGCGCCACCAGGGTAGTGGGGCTGGGAATTTAGAGTAGAGGGGCGAGCGCCAGAGGTTTGGTGGTTGGTCGGCGGAGTGGGATCCCTCCCCCCGGGAAGGAAACATCAGGTGGGAAGACAGCGACAGCTGGTCTCGGGAGGCCGCTGGATTAGCCCTCTTCAGCTCCCGCCTTCCCGGTCCTTGACTGGAAAGAGAGGCTCGGCGAGCCGGCGTGAGCTGAGAGACCCGCCCCGCCTCTGGCCTCCAGCTGCAGCCTGAGGTTGTGTTCCCACGCATTCACCTCTTCGCCCTACTACCTCCTACCCGAATCCACCTCCCCTTCACGCCCACCCCCACAACTAGCAAGCTAGCTAGGGTGCGAGAGAGGCGCGAGTTTGTGGTCCGGGTGAGGAGGCCTCCTCTGTGTCTACCTTGTGCCAGATCCAGCGCGGGAGCAGACATCACTTCTGCTCCCCACCGGTCCTGCTTCTGGCCAAGCCACAGGCAGGCCCTCGGGACGGGACGACTTCGCCCTGTTTTCCTTTCCTCCAAGTTTCATGTTTTTTTTGTTTGTTTGTTTGTTTTGTTTTGTTTTGTTTTTTTAGAGATTTAAAAATTATCTATCTATCTATCTATCTATTTTGGCGTTTGTGGCCCTAATTGTACGAGCACACTGTGCAGGAAAAACTGAAGCTGCAGTGCCCCTGCCCAGGGAGCCATCCCAAACGGAGGCAGACAGCACCCTCACCCCTTTAGGCATTCTGACGCTTAGATCGCGGGAAACGTCAACAGGATTCCCGCGTCAAGTTCCAGACTTATTTCTCCTAGGCGCATTCTCACTCTTTTGGGGAAGGGAGCATAGCAGGGCAGAGGATCTGGAGTGGGGTGAGTGCACTGCCAGGGACCAAGTTCTCCAGGACTCATTCTGCGTAGAGAACGTACCAACAGTCCTAGTGACCTGCATCATGCCCGGGAACGCAACGGCTGAGAGTCCCGCAGTCTCAACCGCGCAAAGCCCTAGCACAAGGAGTTCTGCCCCGGCATGGAGTCCCCAGAGCCCTGGTTTCTGAACTTGATGAGGCTTGCCATTGCGGCTCTGCCCGTAAAGGTTACAGCTGTCTTGAGAACCCGACCCCCATCGCCTTCGCAGAGAAAGGAAGACAGATTCGTTTACCCCAGACTCCTTGGTCGCGGGGTTCCGCCCCCGGAGCCTGCCGCTAGCCAGGCTGGAGTCGCCGCCCCGCCTCCCCGCCGGGCTCCGGTTTCGACCCGAGATTAGGTGAACTGATTGGGGTTTAATGAGAGCGACGCAGCAGACAGCTAGCTCCCTACTGCGCTGGCTCCCGGACCCTCGTTTTCTGTCCACGGCCAGCACAGCCAGCACGCTCAGTTGTCTTTCTTGTCCGTTAAGCCATCGGTGCTCCATGAACTTAGGACGCCGCGCGGTTCCCATTCAGCACGCCCAGGTTGGTCTCGACATCACTAGGACAAGATTTTTGGGGAGCAGAACGGAAAGTGCTATTTCCCAGGACCTGGTTTTCGAGGTTAGGCCTCCATTGTCTATGGTGACTTGTGACGGTTGCAGCCGTGGCTGATGACCACCGCACCCTCAACTTGGAGACAAACTTTTCCCTGTGTGGGGCGAGAGTGAGTAACGAGCAAGATCACCCGGATACTAGCTTCTCCCGGGGCAGAGGTTGACTCTTTGCATTCACCCCCCTTCACCACCGCGTCACCTTCCTTTCCCTTTGCCCTCCCGCCTCCCTTTTCTGGCCTCAGTTGCCCGCAGTAGTCCTATTGCTGTCCCCCTCCCAATCCTGTCTTTCAGTCCAGCCCAGGGCACCCCACTTCTGCCCCTCTTTCACTTCAGTTTGTAGTGGGCTCTTGGAAGTCTTGGCCTCTTCCGGGTCCTCGACCACTGACTCATCCTCGGCCCTTACTGACCCGCGTGTTCCAGCTCTCCTGGTCCAACTAGGCAGGCAGTGGGTGGTCGAGTTGAAGTAACGGACTGGTTGGGAACTATGGCTCTCCGGAGAGTTTGCACTAGCGAGCTTTAGTAAGGAAGGGGAGGGGCCGGGGGCGTGGGCAGAGCAGAGGAAAGGGGCCTGAGCCAGGGCCCTGGGACAAGTTTTACCACTGAGCTGTGGCAGTGCCGGGAGCGAACAGGGCTCGCGCCACCTGTCCGAGTGCCACCTGGTGAGCGTT